AGCAGCTATTTTGGTCCACCTGGACATCCCAGTATCCTAGTTACCTCGGGCATGCGCATTCGCATTTTTCTGAGTTGGAATGCTTATGCGAGAGCGAGATTGAAACAGGATCTTGGTATCATGTCACCGTAGTTGCAAACCCCAAGTAATGTACCTCTGATACTATACATACAGACTCTGAGCAAGCTCAGGGTGGAGCTCAGGGTGAAGCTCAGGGTGAAGCTCAGGGTGGAGCTCAGGTTGAAGCTCAGGGTGAAGCTCAGGGTGGAGCTCAGGGTGGAGCTCAGGGTGGAGCTCAGGGTGGAGCTCAGGATGGAGCTCAGGGTGAAGCTCAGGGTGGAGCTCAGGTTGAAGCTCAGGGTGGAGCTCAGGTTGAAGCTCAGGGTGGAGCTCAGATTGACTGAGCAAGCTCAGGTTAAAGCTCAAGATTGCCATTAAATAGTGAAATTAAATGGTTTAACAGTACTTATATTACGGGTAGTACCAATATTTATTTGTATTGTTGCTATAGTGATAAAAATGAATGTATCTTATGTCGAGGTAGTTAACAGCCGAGGAAATTTGACCCTTGAAAATTGAATATTTTAATTATAAAATAGTACAATACATTAAATCAATACAAACTTCAATAAATGCATATTTTACCATATTGAATGCTGATGTGAAATCTTACTTTGTTACACAGCTTGTGGAAGTTAAAATCAAATATTAAACTGAATTTAAACAACTTCCTTGACAGTAAAATATTAAACCGATTAGGTAGATTTAACATAAGAGCTAAAATTAACAAAATCATGTGCAGGGAATAAATTTATATCTTTAAGAACAAAGATAATAAAGAATTTGAAAAAATATTATGTCACCTATTGTGATATGTTACACTTAGTACAACAAAGATACATTCTGGTTAATTTTACACTTAGATAAAGGTTCCAACAATAGCCTAATTTTAAACTTCAGGTAGAACACTACAAAAAAGAAAAAATATTGCCATTTTCTTGATTTTTACACGTTTGATATATTAAAGGGTGGTAGTCGACGCGCCACGCATGTGCCAGATATATGGGTCTCATATAAACAAAGATGGCGACTTTGGCTGTTGCGCAGATCAACAAGTAAAAACTGAGACGTTACCAAGCTTTAATTAAGTATTTTTTGGTGATTGGAAAGTATCGAAGGAGTCACCATCGGTAATTAGTGCAAGTCACACCCAGGTGATTTCCATTAGAAGAGCGCATTGGATTGTGGGAAAATCAATGTTTATGAACACAAATTTCGCACATGCACGGTGCGACGACCACCGCCCTTTAAGTTACATGGAAATAAAAATATGAGGTCATCGTAATCAGTTCAGAAATAGTCAATCAATAAAACACAACATATTGCTACTTCTACATGTATATGTGCTAAAATTTGCACTCGTGTGAAAAA